TCGATTGTATCAAGCATATATTCTCGGATTATTGGTCTGTCAGGACCGGCGACCGAAAAATCGAACATAGGGACATGCCGTAGAAGTTGGTATGCTGGAGCTAAAAGGGTTTGCGGTGGGCTACACGAAGTCGCATTTTTACTAGACCATTCCGTTGGATCAAATTTAAAGTTGTCTGCGTTATCGCTCTCGACATCCAACACAGGATCGCCACTCTCATTGAATACCCGACGGATTGGCTTGAGAATTCGCAAAGCCACGAGAATGTCGATTAGTCTTTTTAGATTCTGCCGGAACTTGTAGTTTCCCGAAAAAAGCGACGCGCGTAACTCACTTGGAAGATCAATAACGCTGACATCAAGGCTCTGTCCCGAACAAACGTAATTAGTTAAGGCTTGACTGGGGATCGATTGACCAATAATTTTGAGGTATAAATCAAGAGGAAGGTCACGTATAAGAATCGCCGTGTGAAAAGTTCTAGAATTTTTGTCGATATAATTCTCATCTGAAATTTTGGAGATCAAATATTGGTGAAGTATTTTCGCACGAATCATTTTCGCATTGATCCAACCGTAACCTCGCGCTGTGTGAAGCCACCACATCTCATTGGACGTTTGCAAGGTTTTGTTACCATGTTCAGTTCCTGGAAGATTGCCCATGAAGTATTCTTCTGGTGCCATAGAATTCATGAGGGTATCACATGCATTGGAAGGATTTGTGTTAGGCTCAGAAGGTACTTCAAGTGTAATCGTTTTTTCACCAGCAGCAGCTTCTGCAGCAACACGCCTTTGGAATTCTTCAAGCGGTTCAACCTCTATATTTACTTCCTCTATTTTGGATGGTTTGAATGACCTTCCAATGAGTATTGCTCTGTCCAACATCTTGGTGACATATTCCTTCACTATAGGACTCGATGGAGTTAAACTAGGATGAAGGAAAAGAAGTTTGGTATTGCTGCCACCATTCAACAAAGGCAGGGACACATTATAAGTCTTGAGAAGTCCTTTTTCTTCCATCGCTGCAGCAGCTCTTTGTAACGTTTTCTTATCGATGACATGTGGTGTAGTCATTACATTAGACTCCTTGGCCAACGTCTGCTGATATAATTTGACTAGTTCGGCGCTGTGTTCGATAACCTGGTGTTCCTCCAGGAGACGTGTAAGCACTTTTTGCCGAAGTGCTGCTGTGATTGATGCGGGTGTAAAAACTTTTCTTTTCTTTGGCGACGCCTGTTTACTAAGTTCCGTGACTACATCAGGAACAAGAGGGGACATCTTCCTTTTTTTGTTAAAAGCTAGCTGATCTTCTTCAGAACCCTTTCGTTTTGAATTTCTGGTAATTTTTGCTGCGGCTGCCTTACCAGACTTTATTTTTATAGTAGAAGTTTCTGAAGTACCCGAGGACCTGTTACGATTTCCTTGAGAGTGAGTTGATGATGATGTTCTAGAAGGACCAACTTCTACTTCACCAGATTCCTTCTGACCGTTGTCTTCTTGAAGTTCTAATTCCGAAATTAGTGAATTGATCTCAGGAATGTCCGTTGATTCGGAATTATGAGATTTTGCTGTTTTACCTTTGTTAATAAAGGATTCTGTCCCTGCATTCGGAATATCTGAGCTTACGCTGAAAATATTTCGACCAGCTGGTGACGATGAAGGCTGACCACTGTAATTTTCCTCGTTTAAAGTAGATACTACCTGACTGTTTAAGGATGTATCAGAATATAGTTCTGATGCATTATAAGAATTTAAATCGTTCTGGAAGATGAATCGAGTGTTGGAACTCATTGAGTCGTTACGCATGCTGTGTACATCGAGCCCAGTCCAGTTCACACGAGAATGCGACAGGGTCTCGTCAGTAAACGTGGGTGAAAGATTAAACATTGAATTAGGCGTATCATTATTCGTTGGAATAGTTGAATCTGTAAGTAAACTCTCTGGTATAATAGGACGTGATTCAGATAAACTCGAATTTACATCTGTCATGCTAATGTTATCAATTTCACGCATATCTTCAAAGTTAGGATTAAACGACGTGGTCATAAGGTCGTAATTTGAATTGCGAATCGAAGAATTGATCAGAGTCTTAGCTTTATCTGATGTATTACCACTAGTAACTATATCAAGCTTTGACTGTAGAATATTCGTTTTCTTGCGCCTGCCTGAACTTTTGCGAGATTGACCTACGTTTATTGACTGGTGGTCTTCATTGACCTGCTTTAATGTATTATTATCAATCACTCCAGCGGTATCAGTATTAGAAATCACACTGTCTGAAACACTAATGGGATCCAAAAGAGCGTTAACTGTTTTTTTAGGTCTGCCTCGACGCTTACGAGGTTTTTCTATCGGAGGTTGTTCTTCAATTATTTGATTAGAAGAATTATTATCAAATACAAAGGGGCTTCTAACAATATCAGTAGACTCTAGTGGCTGTGGATCAACTGAGCTATTATTAAATGTAATATCGCTAATATTATTAGGCACTATTTCATTAATAATAGTTTCTCGTGTCGATACGTCTTTTTCCGGAAGTTCACCGGGAATTTTTACTACATCCGAAAAGGATAACGGTTGATTTAACGAATTGTCGTTTATAACTGTAGACTCTTCGTCGATTCGTGCTCTCTTGACCGAGGGTTTTTTGTTTTTACTCCCTTTTGGTCTCCCGCCCTTGCTTTTAGGTTTAGGATGTTCGACTTCTGAAGAAGTTACGGTATTTTTTCTAGGGCGGCCTCTTTTCCTAGGTATTTTGGGATTTGACTCTGCATTAAGGAGACCTAGGCGCCACTTTTCCTTTTTCTTTCTGCGCCGCTCTCTGGCTTGTAAAGATGGTAAAAAGTCATCATCTTTCTCGACTTCACCTTCACCCAATAACTCCACCCCCCACATAGGGTCATGTGTTGGAGTTGCTGACATTGATTGGCTCTCATAATTTTCATCTTCCTCTTCTAATTTCATTCCATGATTTGCAGCAAATTTTTTATATCCCCTAAGAGAGAAATAACGATAACGCCTTTCACGCCCTCGAAATTCAACTGCCCGTTTTACAGAAAACTGACGTAGGTTTGGTGGTGGAGGTATAACGAGTCGATCGAGAATCTTTGTTAGAACACGATGGTTCATATTATTAAAAGCGCGTGTGATCTCCTTATTAAAATTAGGTATAATGCCTTTAGTCATTAATATGGTGGATGGGTGATTGAATTTGAACACATATTCGATTGCATACCCCACCAACCATTCCTCTCTCCTCCGAATCTTGTATTAAGCGATAAACTTGATAATCCAGGGGAAGATCAGCATATACACCTAATTGGTTGTTATCACTTGTACAGCGGATTTTCGAGGATCCCAATGCATCTGAAGTATTTTCAGTCGATGATTCATTCTTTCCTGTAACATATCAATATCAGAATTTAAATTTCACCGTGATTACTAGACGAACAAAAATTCTCACCAACTTCGTGATCTTTGCCTTCATACATGGCAACCAGCCTAAGGCATCGATCCACCTGCTTGAATGAATCTTTTCTCAATACATTTACTTTTTCTATGTACCCTTGATCTACTAAAGTACCGACGGTCCTATTAAACCAGCGACGTTGTTTCTTTGTGGGTGATGAAACTCCAAACTAATAATATGTCGGGAAAAAAGAAATTATAAAAAGAATGGTTAAAAGAATAAAAATAAGCTAAAAGATGATATATGCCTACCAATGCGATCATTAAATCCTTTGCCATCATTATTTTATTTTTAGCCTTTCCTAGGATTTCAGTAAATCTGCCTTTGATTAATTCAGAATTAAAAGATACGCCTCCACTAATTGTATCAGAAGGATCAAATAGGTATTCAGGAGCCTGAACTTGTCGCGAGTTTGATAGATTATTTGTAGGAAGATATACAGATTTCCCAGAGTAGGCAGGATTTTGAGATGCGCATTTTGCGAGAATACATAAATTTGTATAAATTCCTTTGGTGACAACGGGAAGTTTCACTCTAGAAGTATGATTAGATAAAATTAAGTTAATCCAGCATTTTGTAAATAATAGTAGAAAACATACTCTCACATTAGTTTTAGGTTATTCAAAATTTTAATATAATGGAAAAATGATCTCGGGTCAATTTTCAAAAACTTTGCCATGTCTGCCTGTGTGGCACCAATAGCGCGTTTCCGTGCGATATGTTGTAATATGTTATACGCCAATGGTGATATGTTTCGAGTTGTCTACAGATAAAAAAATCATTAATAAAATCAAATACGCGTTAATTTTCAGAATACAATGATACACATACATCTACTGCACCGAATATTATTTGTTTTTGGTACTCAGGAATGACTTTCATCCGGAATCCATCGCCATAATTAATATGTACATCGTGCAAAGCCATGCTCTCAATTCTGATCTTTTCTAACTCATGATTTTCCACCTGTATTTACGAAACTTAGATGATATGATGATGAACGATCAAGTAAAAAATCCAATACTAACCAAATCCGAATTAGTGACATCTTTGGTTGTTTGCGTTTCGTCTGAATTTGAATTATTTTTTGTCGTAAAAAATATAAGTTCTTCACTAGTTACGAATTGCAACCAAAAATATGCTTTGAATGCGTCGTCACAATTAGGTGTGTTTGATTTGGTTGCAGACTTCAAAGAGCCCGGTTGGAGTTCGACCTCCTTGTATCGTTGGTTTAGAAATTCTTGAACAAAAACCCATAATCTTTCGAGATCACAACCTATCAGCGAAAAAAAAAAATCAATGTTGATTTAAATTGTAAACAAGTGTAAAGTGTACGTTGTAAAATACCTAAATCTCCTTCTAATGCAATCTCCTCCAAACAATGAACAATAAGATCGTCGAGCATCGAGAGTTACTTTATTATTCTATGTATGAGTAGAACAGAGGATTTAATGATCACGAAGAATTTTGAACGAATGGTAATTTAACATAATGGCTTTATGTTGATGAAAAGGTGTTACTCTGTTTATATATAGGTGTCAACTCTTGCTGCGTGAAATGATCACGATTATCATCAGATTTTTGTTTCGCCCAATAGAATAATTTCCAAATTAATCGATGTGCTGCAGTGTCAATTATAACTTCGTACGTATATAGACTCTGCGTTAATATAAACATATTGCATATTAGTTACTATATATTAGTTATAAGAACAGGTCGCGTTTTATCCTTGTATTTTTACAGACATTAACTTCGAAAATTACTATATTCCATCAGAAAAACTTAAAACTTTTAATTAGGATATAAACTGTTATTATTTTTCTGTTTATTTTTATTATTAGGAAATACAGTATATAATCAAATTCTTTTTTTTTTTTTGTAAATTACTTTATTAATTTATATGTATAAGTTTATACTGAAAAAAGTAACAACATTATTCAAAGATAAATAATAATTATTATCAATAAGTTAAATGCTAGCTTGTTTACAAAACTTATTTCAAATATAGAAAAATAAATATTAAAGTCAATGCAATTTCTGAAATGGTATAATATATAATCAAATTTTATTTAAATATCAATACAAATGTTTTAAAAATAATTTTAAAAATAAAAATAAATAAATAATAAATAGATATATTTTATTTTATTTTATTTTTTTTAACTTGACTAGCTAGGCCTTGCCTATGCATTCTTTTATTTAATTCACATATGCTTTATATCATGTATTATAGGAGGAAGTTATCTATAAATTACTCTAGATATCACTAGACTACATTGGATTTTATTTCCATGTTAGCTTGTTGCTATTGACTATAAACCTGAAGATCTACATACATGTATATCAAGACTAATGTGCTAAAGCTTCATTAGTGTCATTATTATATAGAAGGTTCTATTTCTAATTGTAAATGTATTAAAGGAAAGTATAAAAAAAGAAACTGGAAATAGTACCTATTAGACAAATAAAATCCTTGTAAAAAAAATCCTTCTAAACCTAATTACTTGCAAATATATGTATTATTTAATTTCCATCTTACTAAAGCTACTCAAAAATGTTTAAGAAACTTATTTTACAGACTTACTACATATAGATTGTTTCAACTATTGATACTTAATACTGTTTTGGTTGCCTTTCTAGGATAAGTAACTGTCAAAGTAATCTATTGCTGAATTGGAATAAGATCTTTCTAGAAACTTGCAGAAAAAAACACCAAATACTATAAGGAAATGATCACCAAGCCATTCAACTCAAAGTGAACACCTTATATATCTTATAACTTCTAATAATTATTGTAATATCAACTAAACGATCGTCATGCCATAACATTATTTTCAGAAAATCACAATCTCAATGCCTACTGGATTAGTGTATAAAATAACTTTTCATAAGAAACAATACTTATACAGGTTATGGCGTCAGATATCATATTAATTTTATTTAACTATTCTTATATAAGGTTGAACTGGTATCTTGTGATTTGATCTTGAAGTATTAACCACTACACTACAAATTCACAGGTCTAACAGATATATTTTATAATTTTATACTTTGAATTTAGTTATATTAATTTAAAATAATTAATTAATAATATTGAATTGCATATCTGTATTTTAAGAATAAATTTTATATTTGTTTTTTTTATATATTATTAATATTAATATTAAAGTATCTAAAAATAGTTTTAAAGTATTTGAATTTTATAATATTATTTAGAATTATTATATTATTTAATTTAATAAAAACAGTTTTATTCAAATTTAATTTGCTTAAATTAAAAAATTATTAAAATATTATTGAAGTTTTATAATAATTTTATAATAATTTTATATATTTATTTATATTTTCATATTTTTATCTTGAAAAATTTTTTATATATTGTTATCTTTTGATTTCAATATAAAATAAATTATTAATTTGCGATAAGCTACAATTAATTTACTATGTAAAGATTGTTAATATAATGACAGTAAATATTTTTATTTAAATAAAGTCTCGTATTTAATGCTTGTTCGCAATAAAAAAAAATAAATTAATTTATTAAATTAATTTAAAACAATAATATTAATTAATTAATTTATTGATTTATTTTTTTAAAGTGATAAAAAGTAGTTATAGTATATAAATTTATTTATTATTATTTTTTTTTTTTTAATCTTGCAATCAGGTTAGTGTTGTTTATTTATTAAATCATAGAGAACTATTATACACACAAGAATATATGCAAAGTACAAATTTCCCTGATCCAACTCACCTGTCTTTAGCCAAAGCCTCTAGATAC